TAATCCGTGCAAGGATCATAATGTAAATTTTTCGCCCCCCCCCCCTCCGTCATCGTCAGTGGCGTAGCTTGTGAAAACGGTGCTTGGGAATTGCATTTTTTCGTCTAATCATATTCGACTTTATAAATCGACATAAGCCAGGAATGATTGTGTTCCGGTATTATACCGGAAATCCGGTATTTTCTTCATCCTTAATACCGGAATTCCAGTATTTTCTGATAAATCTATTTTTTAAAACTTAGAGTGCCAAAGACTCAAACTACTACGGATTCTCCGTAGTTTGTACGCAATTTCGGCTTCTGCTACGGTCTACACAAATTATAATCCATACCAGGAAAAAAAAAATTAGGTTTAGTGGGAAATTTTTTTTTCATATATTCTTGTTGTTTACTTTGGATTATGCTAAGTCAATCCAAATGATTTTTTTAGCAAATGCCATACCATAACTGAGAATAACTACCTCACTTAAGAATGGTCCCATAAGAATTTATAAGACCTATATATATTCATTAATGCTATTCACACAAAATATTGGTATATTTTTAATATTGTTTTGTTATCAGTTTTGATGGGTTTTTTTTCATGTGTGTTATAGAATGTTATTGAAAACTCATGAACTGAGACAAAATAAATCAATTTCTTACGTGAAAAAAGCATATTAAAAATTGCATTCAAAAGTTGAATCTGCACCGTAATGAATGAATACATATCAGTTCCCTACACATAATTTCCCTGCTAAAATTTCAGGTATTTTTTCATGAAGCCACAACCACCCCTGATAGCGCATTAAAGCCTTGTTCCCACGGCGTGTGGCTTGGCAAAGCTCGAGTCGCTCGAGGTTCGTACTTGTGGGACTGTGGAATTCCGGCCGGCGCGTGGCTTGGCAAATCTCTCGGCAGCTGTAAGCTGCGTCCCTACGGCCTGCCTTCAACGAGCTTCGTCCGCAGTTCGCGTTATTCCTCGTCGTCGGCACAGGAAGAATCGATATGGCTTGTGGACTTGTTGGTACATCTGTTGTTTCCCTCGTTATGGCGGTAAATAGCTCGCACATCAAAGGAGGAAGGAGCGGACAGACGGCATCCGTGCACTTCTCGCTGTACTGAGGTTTGTCACCCATCGATTCACAAGCCTTTGGGGTCTATTCTGGTACCCCCGGTTGGGTTGGGAGTTGAGTTGGGTTCCGCTCGTTAACAACGGAACCCAACCCAACCGGGGGTACTAGAATAGACCCCTTTGATGCCCGATCATTTACCGTCTGCCAAAGGGAAATTACGCGTCACCCTACAATCCCTCGAGCAACAACGATGCTTTATGTTCCCACGACGGGTTATAAAGCGAAATGCGGACCAAATTCGACGAAAAACAGGTCGTCGGAACGCGGCTTTACGTTCTGTCAACATGGCCAGTGGCATACAGAGGGTAAATGGCGCCCAGGGGATAATTTTTTTTTTTATTATCTCAGTCATCACCAGTGGCTTAACAAGTGTGGTGCATATTATTTTTGCGTTTCTTCATCATATTTTGCTTCAAAAAATAACATAAAACCGATAATATTTTGACTTCATGGCGCCCGGGGCATATATACCTCTCTTGTTCCCCCGTTGCTACGCCACTGGAAGACCACTAGTACAGTCGAACCCAGGGAATCTTAACTAATCGGTGTTGATTTCTGTTCGGATTCCGGGGAATTCGGTAAAATACTCTTGATATACCAAATGTAGTAGAGTATTAATACTCTACTGCATTTGGTATATCGAGAGTATTTTACCGGATAATCCGAATTCCCGGGTCAAATTAAAAATTGTCTGCATCACAAGAAACTTTATTGTAATAATTTTATGAACTATAACAAAAAGGATTTTCATTCAGAAAATGGAACAAACTTTTTTACTATATTTTGTGAGTCATCAGTGGAGAGTTCATAATAAACATGTCAAATAAATCAGCTGTATAATTTTGGAAAGTTTTGTCATATTAACTTTCAATTTAAAGTATCACAACTTCCCTAATTATAATTTGATTCCTAATTATTATTTCCTAATTGTAATTTGTTAAATAGCTGGAAAAGTGAATTATGCAAAAGTGTCGCATTATTTTTTGAGGAGGGGCCTCCTAAAACATTTTGTGGGGCCTAAGTTGTTAGCGCCGCCACTGGTTCTTTGGCATCTCATAAATTAAAAATATTAATAATTGGGTTTTTTTTGATATCCATGTGCTTATTGCAGGGGTGATTGTGGCTTTTTTCCTGGTTTTTCATATTTCTTATAAAAAGTTTGATGTAGCTACAAAAATAATCCGTCATGAAATGATTTTTTTAAGAAAATGAAAAAAAAAGGACTTCTAATTATATTTTAAATAAAACAGTTCATCCTAGAACTCCGTACTATAGATTATAATTTGTGCAGTCTGTATTAGAAGCCGAAATTGCGAAGAAACTTCGGAGAATCCGTAGTTGTTTGAGTCTTTGGTACTCTTAAATTTTAAAAAATAGGTTCATCAGAAAATACCGGAATTCCGGTATTAAGGATGAAGAAAATACGGATTTCCGGTATAATACCGGAACACAATCACCCCTGTTATTGCCAAAACTTTTCCAACCTAAAATCAACTGGCCATCTTTTTTATTAAAAAAACCCAACCATTTATTGAACAACCAATTTTTCATCGTACACACATCCAAATCTGTTTGTATATTCATCTAAAAGTTATCGGAAATTCATCGCCATGAAACCACACTGCTCGGTTTTCTATCGTATCGGCTAGCAAAACTCATCCGATATCGATGATCGGCTGATCTATGGCCGATGAGATATTTCGGAGCAATTCCCGATGAGAATTCATCCCTATCCGATAAGAATCCGTTCATCGGCCGATCATTGTGTGATCGGGTTTCGATGAAAGGCCTTTCAATGGCCGATGACATTTTGCTACTATAATATATATATACTTATAGGGTTGACTCTGGGTGCTCTGTGAAGTCGTACGGAAAGAGCACGCGGCGGTTCGCACGGTACAGTAGCAAACAAGTTGAGGGTAGAAAGAAGATATCTGAGTTTGTCATTCATTGAGTTGCTGTATTTATTGTTACAAACCAATTTCGAATACTTCTTTTAAGTTAGGAATAAACATTAGCTTTGTTTCTGATTCGTAATTGTTATTTTCCCTCCATTTTTCAGAAAATTAAAAAAAAATGTTCGGAATTTCGGATTACCGGGTTTCTATTGTAATTTTACTTACTTCAACTATTTTATTCTAGAATTACGCTCTGTGATTTATTACTCTTTCGTGTATAAAGAAAGTATTGTTGTGGTCCAAAATTCGACCGCGAGATTTTGCGCGAGTGCGGTCGGAAAAATTGCATTTTCATCTTCGTTCGTAATCCATTTGGAGCGTCGGGTCATAAAACTGAAATGCGACCGTGAGAAGGAGGAGCGTGGCTCTCTCACAAAAGCGAAAACCACAGAATGTAGACCCGTGGGGGAGGGGGCATTTGGAACGGAGCGGGGGCTCCCGTTTTGAAAGCGAGAGGAGGAGCAGGCGCCGTAATCGGAGTGACAACTTGCATGGAGTCTCTGTGAATGACCTACCTAAATGGATGGACTGAAAACTGGAACAGTGTGGAGTGCTACCACGCCATTTCGATTGGAGTGGTCTCACCGTGAACGTCCAGCTTTACGAACGAAGCAAGCGCTTCGAGTATTCAACCAATCACACTTAACCGCTAACTTACCAGCCCAGGAATACTCGTGCATCGAATTATCGCATTTTTGGTCTTAAAACTAAAATTTAATCACTAATTATCTTTATAATTTTACACAAAAATTACCTAGAATCCATAAACATCTCAAGTATTATATGCCTTCTGAGATGAATGAAAACGACAACCGCTTTCCAAAACAGTAGGAAGCAGCTTATTAGATAGCAAAGAAAATTATTAATTTAAGTGGTTAATAAGGAGGGGGGATTTCGCAAGGATATTTGGGAGTTTCGGGCGATCGCCGCACTTTGATTGAACTGACGTCTCGGGCGCTTCAGTACTGAAAGAGTAGAAAGTCCTTTTGTTTTAGGACAGATTATGTATATCAAATTACTCACTTGTAACGGCCACGCTCCTCTATAGAAACCTTCATGCAGGGCAACAACCAGATGACCGGCATCGGGCAGGAGAGCACCTTAGGATCCTGTTCGCCGAGCAGACTCCTAAGAATAAAACATACAGATTCAGTCAAATCAGTTTAAATTTGTTTATTTAAAGAAAAGCACACTACAGAGAAAACTCCATTTACAGAGTGCCATAAACAACAAACACACGAAGAACAAAAGTCACAACGAGTAAATAAAAGAAACAAATGTGCTAGATAATAAAAAGTTGAACACAGAGAATACACAAAATCATAAAAATTTTGCAAACGCATGCATAATTAAAAACGAAACACATAATCACAAAAACATTAAAACACACTATGTTTCTAAAAGTCGTATTTTTTTTAAAAATTAAAAGACCATTTCCAAAAGGCAAGGGTTAAAAAGTCAAAACACGCAAGCACCGAATCCTCTAAAAACACACCAGGAGTTGAAAAGTTTTTTGGAGACGGGATAGAACCGGGAACCTTTGGGTCCCGAGCAGAACATCTTAACCACTAGACAAAAGGAATTCCCAATGTCTGGAGGTGGATACTGGCTAATATACATCAGAGTAAGATGGTGCACTACAGGAGCAACCCCAGCTTGTTTGATATTATCTGAATATCAAGGAAGGGTAATTGCACTTCCGTGTGCTACGTGCATATGCGCAGATTGCTGCCCCTATTGTTTGTGCGCAGGCACGTGCAGGTTTTGTGCTATGAAATGCATCATAGACTTTTTGAATTAGGAGAGATGTGTGGCTGTAGTGCTGCCATCTGGTGAATGTAGCAGAAGATGGAATTGATCTGATTTTTTGGTGCTGCCATCTATTAGTAGGACTGAAAGTCGTTGTTGCGTGTTCTTTATCCGCGAGTCATCACTTTGGGGACGGGATAGAACAGTGGACCTTTGGGTCCCGAGCCGAACATCTTAACCACTAGACAAAAGGAATTTCCAATGTCCGGCGGTGGATACTGGCTAATATACATCAGAGTAAGATGGTGCACTACAGTTTAAAGACGAAAATACACACTTGAGATAAAAAATAAATTGCAACACGGTGCCAGAAACGGAGTACAAAAATTAAAACCTATAAAAATCATTAAAAAAATGGGGGAATAGATAAGAACACGGAAAATCAAAACGCATAAAAATCTAAAAAGTAGTAAAAAGGCAAAATAAAGCACGTCATGTATAAATTCCTATCTAATACGATATTACAAAATTCTTACTTAAAAAAACTGACAAAGGAACCCTGCCACCTGACACCGAGGCTCTTGGTTAGATAACCTTGTGTCATAGGTACCGGGGGCACCGGTGGCGTTCTGTCTATCACCGATGCTGTGTGATAGAGCACTGGATTATAGCTAACCGATCCTCCGTTGTAGTTTAACCCAAAGACTGGAATTTGAATTCTAAAATTTGTTTATTATGGAGATTTTTTTTTTACATCTTCTCCTCGACTGGCGACCATCCTTCCCTACGATCACAAAAAACTAATTTCAAAATAAAACGTAATTTCAGATCGCATTTTTGTTTAGAGAACAACTGAAGACTGTACGCCCAGTAGAGTATATGAAGTATTCTTCACATTATGTTGACACAGGCTGAGATTTTGTGTCCTATGTTCAATTTTTATAACCCGTTTGAATGAAAATAGTGTTGTAATATGTAACTTTAATAACTCCTCCTTCTTGGAGAAAATTAGCGTGGGTTAATATTAAAATAAAGGTTTTTTCTCATCTCTCAATTATGAGCATAGGGTAAGATTTTAATTTATGAAGGCTTATTAATAAAGCCAAATGACTAATATTTTTAATCGTCTTATTAGCGTTTTGATGTTTGTTCCTCTTTCTTTTGTTTATTTGCTCTTTAATGTACATTTCTCCATTGTCCTCTGTTTGGGAATTTCGGGCTATGAGAAGCTATGTTTGGCGTAATGCTAGCTTCTTACAGAAAAATTTCCCAAATATTATTTTGAATCCATTTCGCATCGTTAACTTAGCCCTTGAAAAAGTGGACTAGAATGGATTCCTTGTTTTTGGTTGTATTTGATTAACTCTGAGTTTATTTTTATTTCTTTTTTTATTTATTTTTGGCTATCTTTGTATGATTTTGATTTCCGTTGTAATATGTAAATACGACTTGCGACTTGTCAGTCGGAACGGAATTCGGTCGTAAGTCGAAGAGACCTAGTATATATATTCGAGGAACTTCTAGATAGAGCCGGATTATCAAACAGTAAACTGCTAATGGTCCCTTCAGCTTTTGGGGCCCCCAAGGTTGCGATATTATCCGGATAATTTAATTTCACAGTTTCATTTGATTTTAAAAGGTCTTGTACCTGAACTTATTCAAGTTACATTTTTTCTTCATATTTTGCGGTTGGTTGACTGACTAAAAATCCCTGGCAAACTTTGTCTTAGAATATTTAGATTGCATAAAAAAAAGTTTTGTAATTCGTTTGCCCTTGTGTTGAAAATTGCTTTTAATTTTAAACTTTTCATACGCAGGATATTGAAATGTTTTGTTATTTCAGTTTTTTCGTAAGATTTGTTACTTAAACTACTTATAATAAAATCAATAAAAAATATATAGCTTTTGTAATAACCTTAATTTAACTTAAATTTAAATCAATAAAAAATATCTGATAATGGAAGTGTGAGAGGCGAAAGGGGACCCTAAAACTTGCATTACAGGGTTTAATTTGTCTTCTACATCTTACTTCAAAATTCTGGATGAATTATTCTGGAGTATTCCTCGAAAGTATTATTACGAACGTTGAATGTCGCTTCCCAGCAATGTTTGTCTTATGGTTGGGAAGAGAGTTATACAGGGGCATGTATGGGAAGGTTGGGGGAATAGAGCTATCAACCCACGACCATTTTGGCGACTAAATGTGGGATCTCAAAAGTACTGGAATTTTCTTGATATTTCTATTAGGGGCCGAGATCCGGATTTATCTAGATGATTCTATGTGACGTCACATCCCGCCAGGAAAGCTATAAAAGCCCGGAGTTGCTGATATGAGACAATCGTCTTTGGAGTTCGAGGCATCTCTTTAGAGACTTGTTCGCTTTTCAAGTTGGTCAGCTGTTAGACGCTGAGCGCTACTGTTCGCGTTATTGTTGTTATTGTTCGTGATTTGCTGTCTATTTGTGTTGCTAATTTGCGCAAGTGCTGTGTTTTCCTGTCACCTGCGCTTCGTGTTTTCCGGAATATTCGAGAATAAAGTGTCGTTTCTCTGTTATCCTGCTTGTTGGACTGTTTTCGCCGTACACACACCGAAAGAATTTCCTAACAGTATAAAGGCTGAGTTCCGCAAGTTGTGGGCAAGTGCTCTGTTCAGTTATGTTACTAGTTGCTTCGAATTAATAGAACTGCTTTGTTGTTAAATTGTGTTCTGCAACTCTTTGCATCTTCGTGAATTTTTAATAAAAGTGACGTATAATTAAATAAAAATCTTCCTTTTTAATTTCTAAATAGTTCATTTACATTAAAAAGTGTACCGATTGCATATTGCGACTGAATTAAATGTAAATAAAAATTAAAAAAGATTTTAAAAACAGCCTTTGGGGCCTTTCAAATATTACGTAAGCATGTTTTTGGTTATTTTTGGCCCCCCCCCCAACCCTTGTCAGCAAAAATAAGCAAATCGCAAACCCCCTCTTATAATTACG